ATTTTTTTTGTTGTTTTCTGTCCCACTCTCTGACACCAATTTGTTATGCCTCCAGTCGTTACTTAATATTCCGTAAATTTGTTCCGACGAAACTTTAGCGACACAAGTCCTTTCTTAAATAAAACTGGTTTATTCTTTCCGAAAACAATTTTACCGATACACTTAATTTCAACAGTCGCTCTATAACAAACGCTAGAACGTCTCACGTGCTCGTGCTCGACAATACTCAATTACACACTCTCTGACTGCAGTTCCATTACTCATTACCTACACATTGTCCCGTCACGTTGTGACCATCTTATATATACCAGACTACCCCAATCTAGTAATCTCCCGATAAGTCACGAAGGTTCGAGAAAGAAGTGGCGTGATACTAGTCAATAGACTTTTTTGACGCAACACTATATTTTAACGAAAGCATATGGAGTCCCACGATCAACAAACTTAGAAGTTTTACACAACTACTTAAACATGCTAACACTATCAGGCAGACTCTTAGAAAACTCACTTCAATATTATAAGAAAAATGAACTGATGACCAAACTAGAGAGTTACATAATACATGATGAACCAATCCCTAAGTACCTCTTCCCTCTAAAAATCGTAAATAAGAATCTTACAGGCCAAACAGTGCTAGGCTAACTGAATCCTAGACACAAACGTAGCTCTATTTTAAAAGGGTTTTATGTGTAAAAATATGATTATGTGTATGTGTATGACTGCTAAACGGAACTATCTTGTGAACAACGGACTAATAATGCGATCATACATAAATGAAGCTAGTGAAAATATACGAGTTAATATTACCCCATGAATTGAACGTGGCACTAAAAGGACAATGGACAAAATGTAAATACTGTGAGTAATGCAACAACAAAGTAACAAGGGTTATTACCTAGGATTCAGTAAGAGTGCAAACAAAATAACAATTCCTGAGAGGGAGGAAGAGGTCTACGATGAACCTGACCCTCCTTGGTCCAAAACATGGACCGAATCCCGATGAAGATGATGACTCTCTGTCGCAATGTGAGGGGAGTGGGAGCACTGGGAAATATACGTTCCAGCCGCACTGAAAGAGTTAAAAGTGTGAAGATTTAATTCTGCATTAAAATGCCTATATATACATTTTGTGATAAAACCTACGTTTTGCATTTAAAACGACTTTAAGTTTGCACATTTTTGGACAAAGAGGTTACCAGGTAACACCTACTATAAAATCAACAAATTTTATTTCTAAAATGTTTAACATTTGGGTATTATTAATTACCTGGTGATTATTAATTTAAGCCATTTTGTTAAGTTCTTTTGAGTTCACGTACAATAAAAGCTAACCGTGCTGGTTCTAATTTTATGCAGCGCCTGATTAAATGAAGTAAAAGATTCAGCTGAAATTTGTTGATTTAAAGTAGATGACCTGACATGCAATATTTACTCAACATCACTTCCTTTAACTAATTTGCCACAAATTTCATTTTCTTTCCATTACAGTTAAATTTAGTGATTAAGGGTTTGAGATCACATGGCGTAGTAGACTGTACATCACGTCTTCAATATTAGCAACACCAATTACAGCTAGAGAATGGAGCTGGAAGAAGAATTTTAAAGATAAGGTCAAACACTGAAATAATCTACTGACTGAATATTCTAAAACAAAAAAACAGCGATTCTGCTGCATTTGAAAAAAAGAGACTTTTCTTGTGAGTTTATAAGCTTCCTCGTAGGGGTGAAATTCTATAAAAAAGTAGAGGTACTTAACTGGGTGAAGTGGAGATGTTTTTGAAAAAGAAAAAAAATTATGCGCAAACATAAAAAATGACAAAGCAGTTCAAATAAAGTTCGGTACTTAGTACCGACAGAATTTCACCCTGCTTCCTTGTTTAGCTTTACTTCTGCAGGTGATGTCTTTCGATGCAATTGCTTTGTTTTCTGCCAGCTATCTAGTAACCGCCCATTGTGAATTTTTTTAAGTGGGGCTTGTGAATAAGTTACAAACATTGTGTTGATGGCACTGTATATTTCTGGTTTGTTGCTTTCAGTTCATAGAAGATTTGCATTATAGTTTCCAGCTCCATTCTTCTGGGAAGCTTGAATGCTACACCAACCTTATGCAAAACACTTCTGCTCTACAAGATGGTAAATGATATATTTGGTATATGGACCATCTGTGACCAAGATGACAGATACTGTCCGCTATGGTCTTGAAATATGCAGTTACAGGCTTTTTCTGCTTCACCCTCTTTCAAATCTCAATTTTTCCAGCCTAAGCACAAATGTTTATTTAACATAATGAAGTCTGAAATATAGTTGTGATAAATTATTTTAGTGGTAGTTGTATTGCACCTGTCTACCCACAACTGCACCTTTTCGGCAATCTCCTGCTTGGTTGGGGTTTTCAGATTCGTCGTGGAGGTAGAATGCTTCAATTCAAAATATCAATGGCTCAGTGATAGAATGTATGACCTTCACACTGCAAGGCCCTAGGGAAGAATTTAATTGTAAATGCTTTTGGTGCTTTAAAACTGTGAGGTGTAATAGGGCTTACGTGGAGATACCTTCCCGTGACTAGACTTAAACAGGTGTTTTGTGTCTTTTCAATTTTATCTAGCCATATAGCACTCACATTGATCATTACTAGTGCATAATTCAGGATGGAATGGATAAAAATTTGGTAAAGCTGAAGTATGTGACCTTCTTTAGCTCTGTGTCTTGCTTCAACTATCAGTGCATTTATGCCTCTGGTAGTTCTGGCTAGCATAGTATTAATGTAGCTGGTGAAGTTAAGTTGTCCGTCAAAGGTTACACCCATATACTTCAATGTTTCTTCTAGAAGGATAGCAATACCTTCAAAGGATGTTGATGGTAAATTCTTATCAGCATATCTGTTGTTGAGTGTACAGAACATGGCTGTGGCTTTAGCAGGATTTATGACCATTTCTATGCCATTTGCTTACTCTTATAATGGATGGTTGCATCTTGCTTTCGATTTTAGCTTTGCTAGAGCCTGTGCTGCACAACAGAATGTTGTCAGCAAAGATCAACACATGCCATCTAGTTGGTCCGTAATAAATTCATCTGAAATTTTATTTTATTTACATTTTTTGTACTTTACTCTTAATTATTTCTAAGATCGACCTTACACAAATTCGGGTACTCGCCAGAAATAATACAGCATATGACCGTCCCATGTTGTTTCCCTAGGTTGCTGTATCCAGCTAATTGTCTATTTGATGAAAATATTAGTTTTGATATTAATTTTGATTAAAAAATGTTACCATCAATATTCCATTTCTGAATTTTTCCGACCTCACAAAAGGTTAACAAGGTATTTGAATTATATTAGATATTTTATTTGAAGAAGTAAGCATAGCTCTTATTCATCCATTACTTCATATCTCATATAAAATGTTTATGTTCAGTTTGTTTGCTGTTAGGCACAAAGCTACACAATTGGCTATCTATATTGAGCCTTCCACGGGTATTTAAACCAGATTTTTAGTATTGTAAGCTTTCAGACTTACTAATGTGCCATTGTAGGAGCTTTTATGATCAGATTTAGATAAAAAGTACAAGGTTATTATAAAGAAACCCCCATGACTTTAACTTAAACATATTTGTTCAAGGGAAACAAAATTTGAAAGAGGCACATTGAGCATCAAAAGTTTTATTTAGGAAAGTATTAGAATAGTACAGGGCATTTCAAACCCTTTTATATTGAACATCTAATTTTTTTTTCTTTCAAACTAACATTACTTTATTTCTTTCCCCTCTCTTGAAACAATAAGAGACTGGTGATTTGAATAAAATGCATGTCAATGTGCAGGACTTTGTGAAGAGCAACGAAAATTGTCCAAAATAGATTCTTGCGTCAGCTTTCTCTAAAGATAGGCATCATATGCAGATTGAAGATTAAAGAAAGCGTGCAGAACATTTTCTGTGAGAAAAGTTAAGCAAGTTCATCTTTCCGTCATTAAAGAAATTGATATGAAGAAGTTGAACTATTTCCTAAAACTATTTAAGCAAGTGGCCAATTGAAATGGTGTTCTCAAACAAGAACAACCCAAAGCTGCTCCTTTTGATTGTTAGACCATTGCTGGGTATGGTAGAATACTTGATATCACAACACTTAAGTCAAAGGAATATGATGGCACATTTGACAATACAAGGATTAGGGTAAAGAAATGTGATGGAACACTTGACATTACAACAACTAGAGCATAAAAGCATGTTAGTCACTTGGTTGTTGCAATGATTCAGAAAAGTTATGAACAAAGTCGTTTATTGGGCAGAATCTAAGCATGGTGATGAAAAGCCAGATGGAACAGATATTTTTATCAATAATTTTGTTGAAGGTTTACTAAATAAAATTCTGTGTCATAACTTAGGTTTATAAAATATTTATTCATCAAATGAGGCATTTTCATAAGTGGTTTTGTTCAAAGGAAAAATCCAGGTGGTGTCACACAATGCAGGGTCGTCATGGTGGCTTTATGTAACCACTGTTCATTAGTCCTGTTAATATCTTCAGTAAAATGAATGGTGGATTGAAGAAAGGAACAATAACAATAATTGTTAAAATAACAACAATAAATAGGTGTTTACACTTCTATAAACAAGCGTGCAAAGCAGATGACTTTTTTAGTTTACATCAGCACAACAAAAAACACTGTTTAGTTTTGTGGCATATCAGAAACCATCAACAATATCATTACTACAATCATAAGTTATCTGATGAAAGAAAACCAATTGGAAGATGGAAGGAGAAGTTACATCTTAATATGGGCTTTGTCCAATTCAATGGAAGATAAAACTTTTAGTTGATAACGGAGGATCAGCTACATGCTAATATATTTTGCAGGACAAGATTTAATCATCAGTGACACAAAGAGCTAATTTATACATAAACGGAGTTGTAATCTTTGGAAAAGTCTCTTAATGTTGCTAAAGCTGCAGTTGATTAGACGGATTAAGTTATACAGAAACTGACCAGTTCATTCAACAGCCTTTCAACAACTAGCAGTCATGGCAAAATTACTATTAATATCAATGAAAATGCCACGTTGGGCTGTTCCTTAATAAATTAACAAAACAACTGTTTAAAGTGGTTGAATAGAATGAAACATAAGACGTTTAGTGACTTGATAGATTATAAGCATCATAAGTCCTAAGAAAATTACTATATATCTTTCAGAGTACTGACAACTTTCAATGGCTCATATAAAGAACATTTGAATTATGATAAGCGAGAAACTCACGAAGTTCGTATTATAAGTTTCTGGGGGTTTGATAGATATTAAAACACCATAGTAACATTAATGAATAATACAGCTATAGTTTCAGAGCCGTTCTGGACAATACTAGACCTTGCTAAGATTGAATATATGTTCCTTGAAAGCAAGTGGTCCAATCATCGTAAAGCATGTGTACTTGTGGCGAACTGTTACCATAAAGAAGATAGGCACCCACAGTTGTATACAAGTTCCGTGAAGGCTGATAGTGTACTCAAGCAAATCAGTACGTTTCTCCTAGTAAAGGCAGTGAAATTCTTGACACAGTGGCATACCAAAAATGTTTGTAGACATAAGAATGGTGTCTCAGTTACGTCAATAACTGTAGGAAGCTTAATTGCTGAAATAGGTTGAAGGAGAATAATAATACATAGTTCTTAATAATTCAGTTGATTCACACACTACTGATCTCAATACATTTTGGATCTAGTATGAAATGATGGAGATGCTAAACTATTATTGTACTTTAGAGATGTCCTAAGTGGACACTAGACTTAGCCAGGGATGTAACTGATAATTCGCAAGCTTATGTGGCAGGGATGTTTAAACATTTCATAACGACTGGAGAACAAGACTCCTTGAAATGTTTTCACTTTAGATAATATATCATATTTTACTAGCATAAAACGCGTTTTATTCTATATAGGTGCAAGGACTACACAATTTTTGCAGTTAGAAGAAAGTATCATTCACGTGAAGATAAACTACAGCAACAGCAAGCTGTCCTGTCAATGATACCCCGATTACATTTTATACAAAACAGGTATCACGTGATCTGATACACAGATGTCTACTACTGGAGTCCATGCCCACAAATGCTCATTTGGTACAATAGACTTTACAGCCCAATAAATAATCACCCTGGTAATTAATGCAAGTCATACGTCGATGTGGCACGATTATAGTAAATTGATCAGTGAGCTGCTGGTGTAACATTGGCCACTATCAGAGCTACTTCTAATTCATGTACGTTACTTGGTAGACAATCGTGTTGTCAAACATGGTAAGTGTGCCTGACACCTATTTACTTGACACACTGTCTTTCTAGTAACTGAAAATGGGGACGTATATTATCATCCATTGGAAGAAATGTCTGACCAACTGCATACGCACCTATTTAGAAAATGCATCCCTACATCGTATGACATTCATAATGTATTGTGTTCGCACCAGTATTGAGACCTGACTAAACTAGTATTTCATCACTACATGCATGATTTCCTCGTGAAAACGAAGTTGAATCTAGTCCTGGTCGCTCTCCAAAATGCAACCATTCTCGCATCTGGCTGCAGTGTAAATTGTGATTCTCTTGGGAAAAAGATATTCACCCACATTTCTCTTAACCAATCTACATTTTCGTGACATCACTGAAGATGAGATTTTTTTGTCATTAGTCATTAGTCGTCTGGCATTAAGACCACCATTATAGAGTTTGATTCTGACTGCTTTTATACTGACTTGTCGTCCAGTTGCTGCTCTGAATTGTTAGTTCAGCTGGGAAGTAAAAGCCCACCAATTACATCTCGCTCATATTGTAAATAGCAATTAGTTTATGACCAATTCTTTAGCGTTCTGAGTGTTGTCATTCTACTAACTGTAGATTTATAGCCACTCTGCAACAACTTGTGCTTGATCGATTTTCTGCGTTGTTCAATTGTTTTATTTATACACTCTGCAATTGTTCAAACTGCTAACCGAGGTCACTCTGTGTTTCTTT